ACTTGGGTGGTCAGTTAAAATTGAGTGAAAGAATTGTTGAGTGAAAGAATATAAATGTGTGTGCTGTTTTCTCCTAACTTGAGAAAGGAGCCATCACTTGGTCCTTAGCTAAACAATTTAATGTATGTGTCTTGAAGGTGCATCCGTCCAAGTTAAAGCATCATCCTAGAAGAGACGAATCATTAGCCGACCATTTGGAGTTGTTCTCGTGGTCCTTCTATGAAGGGCAGTTGCAGGTTAGCTGAAGTTAGACAGTGCCTCACAGGATCTTGGGTGTGCAGCCCCTGGTGTGGGTGGGGACACTTCTGCTTTTCAGTTGGGTTTCAGTCTCTTCCTTTTCTGGGAGTTAGTTGGGTCAGGCGGGCTGAGGGTTCTGTGGACTCCACAGCGATGCAGGTTTTGTGAACAAGAAAGCAGCAGCTCCTAGTGAAGGCAAAACACCTCGCTGTGAAGGAACTTTGGGGTGTGGGGGCTTCCTGTTGTTTGGTTTGCTGACTGATGATTACTTTGATGTGCTTGTGTATAAGGAGGGAGGTAGGACCGAGTTACACAAGTTGTGAGACAAACGTGTGGAAGAACCGGCAGGATACGAAGAAGGATGTGTCACATGCACAAGCATCAGCAGGGTAGGTGGGCAGTGTTTGAACCATAGTTTTCATTTGTCCTGAGGCCTCTGATTTCCTTTGGTACAATTTAGTGTCTTAATCAGAGGTTGGAAGCCAGACCACCTTGGTTTAAAGGCTGGCTCACGACAGCCTGGCTTGGTGGAGTTCTTGTAAGTTTTGATTTTCTCATCTGTGAGGTCAGAAAAAAGACATCATCTGCACCATGAGGTTGTTGAGGAATAAATGACATAAAAAGACCGTGCCTAGCGTAGATAAACATTCCACAAATGGTAGTTTTGCTATTAATAGTAATAGTAAAATAAAGCAAGGACAGACAGTTTTAAAGGCTATGCGAGTTCTAGAGACTGCTACTCATTATGCCATGCAGTGTGATTAAATACCCTATACTTACTAAGCCCCAAACCTGTCATTTGATGGATTGGATACTTGGAAAAGTAGGGCCGAGTTCCAGGGGCGTTCTTGAAATGAAAGGGAAATGCTCTTGTGCATGGTTCTGCTTGGGTCCGTTGCAGCCACTCTTGGAGGAGAGAGCTTTTCTGTTGTGAGGATGAGCTTCAAGGACAAGTTCCTCGTCAGCCTGTGTGACTTTGAATCTCAGGAATTATGACAGAAGCTGCTGCTCTGCTCAGAGTCGGGCTGCCTGCAATGACAGTGGCACTATGTTATACAGTTTTCTAAATAACTCAAGGGAGCATTGTGTGCTGAGTGCTTAACTCTCCATTTGTGCCCTAAGCCTGTGGAGTTGTTTGATGCCTATAGGTTTTCTGTAAATGTCACCGCAACAGACCATTAGAGGGGCTGGTGATGCTGGCCGGCAGCTTGCTCTGCTGGAACGCCACTCTGCACACAGCTCAAATGGCTCCCATGACACTATGTGCATATTTTTGTGTCATGTATAGACTTCTGGATGAGTAGGACATGTTAATTTTTTAAGCCTCCATACCTAGGAGTGACGGCAGTTGAAAAGCATGTGGGAGATTCAAATAGAAACAGACTCTTTTTGGTAGCTTTATTTTTCCTAAAGGGGGCTGTGGCATCTTTTTATAGAAAATTTTTCCCTTTTTAGTTATAAAACACAGTCATACTTGGCTGCTGCCACAAAAGTTGAGTCCTCCGTGCCTGTCTCAGCCAGAGGACAAAACCCGCAGAGGATTCCTGCCCGTGAAGCTGACTGGAGGCCTCGGCCTGGAGCATCCAGGGCCCTGGCAGTCACTGCAGACCACGCAGCTTGCTGGCACTGTGTCGTGGTCACTGGACATCGGGTTCAGTTGCTGGAGTAACACTGCCAGCACTCGATCCCCTCCATCTCTTTTTTGAAGTACCTTTGTAGACTTGGGTACACACGTCCAGTTTAGGTGTTGAAGGAAATCTGTTCCCCAGATTGTTCTTATAAAGTAATATATCAGGAAATTTCTCAGAAGGGGGCTTGCTTCCTGCCAGCATGTGTGGCTTTCTCCTCACTCAGATCCTCTGGCGTGCAGCTTTTGCACCGCATGTCCCTGTACCCTGGGCCCCTGTGTGGCGGTGTGTGGGTGTCATGCAGGCTGCCTGACTACAGAGAGGGCCACTGCTGCCATGAGGAGGGCACAGGTGAGAGCAGAGCCACAGTCTGACATGGCCAGAGGGCCCCCGTGACCCCATGAACCTACCAGGGTATTGTCCTGCATGCTCCAGACCCTCTCTTCTGAGCCTTGTCACAACAGTGGGTATCTTCACCATGAATTTGGGCAAGAAAATGAATGTGCCCACTAAATTTGTAGGTGATGCACAGTGAGGAGGGAGAGCAAGTGAATCGGTTGACAGATTCAGCATTCAGAATTGTCTTCATGGCCAAAGCTGGCGAGACGGGAGTTAAGTGTAACATGTGCCTGTTAGAGTGCATTAAATACAGCATGGGCGAGATGTGGCTAGAAAACTGCCCTTGGGGGCTGGCCGGTTGGCTCAGTTGGTTAGAATGTGGTGTTATAACTCCAAGGTCAAGGGTTTGGATCCCTGCACTGGCCACCCACTGTAATAAAATAAAATAAAATGAAGTGCCCTTGCTAGTAGAATAGAGGAATGTAGTCCTCCATCACTCAGTAGGCATTAGTATGTGGTGAGGCTCCTGAAGGCCTAACGCTCAAGGTTGGGTTGATAGAGCACGGTCTGGAAAGGTATGCTTGCTTCCTGCTGACTCCATGGACGGGATGGTGCTCATTTTGAGTGATGTATTAAAAGGAACACTGGTAAAGCAGAGGGCATTAGAGGCCAGAGGCCAGCAAGATCCAGCATTTGAAGAGAGGCGAGAGAACAGAATTGGTTCTGAGGTGGAATGGGGAAGGGCCTGGGCAGCCATGCTAGTGACATGCGGTGAGTCATTCATCTGAAATTTGATGAAGGGTAGACATTTGGGTTAGATATCTTCATTTTAATTTTGAGATTCTGTGTGTTGATATATTTTTTTAGGGCACCTGCAATTTGTGGGATTTTATATAAAACCCTGAGAATGAGTTTTGGGGAAAGCTATATAGCCACAAAAACAAATGGAGAAATAATGTTATATAAATAGGTACTGAACTATGTGATTGAGGTTGTGACCATCCTTTGCAACCTGGAGTTGTTGAGGTCCTTGTGGGGGATGTGGGGGTGGTGCACAGAGGAACCCAGGAGGAACTGGTCCCCGAGAAGGCGATGTTGAGGCTTGTCGTCAGTGAGAATCTCAGAGCGTGTCTGCTGTCATTAAGGCCCTGCCCTGTGGTCAGAGTTTTCTAGGAGGTATCCCAGCCAGTCCCAGCACACACCACCGTGCAGGCCATGTGGCAGCCCGCAGCTGTGCCTGGTGCCCCACATGCCTGCAACAGGTGGATCCTTACCTGAGAGCTCCCTGGCACCTGGTGTCCAGCCCGCCTCTCCCTCCCCGCGCCCAATAGCTTCCTGTTGTTCCTCTCTCTGGTTATGAAAATAACACATGTTCACTGGAGAAAACTTGGGGAGTGCAGGAAAGAATAAAGACAGTGATGAAACCACTCAAAACTCCCAGTTTAAAATCTTATGTAATAATTTGCTTTGTAACCTGCCATGTCAGTTACTGTTTTATGAGCATTCTTCCTTCACAGTGATGTCTTAAAAAAAATCTTATCTATTTTATCCTTATCAAATCGATAGAATAAAATTGTGTGTCTGCTTTTAATTGCAATTCTTTGGTCATTGCGGAAGTTGGTTATGTTTTGTTTCTATATTCTGAAGGTTTTAAATTTGCTTTTTCTATTTTTTTTTTTATTGCTATGTACTTTCCTATTGGTTTTAATGAGGTATATTTACAATAACATGCAGACCTCTTGGGTATGAGTTGGAGGGTTTCAGCAGACACACCCCCACTGTGTGCAGTCATGCCCCTCCCAGCTGCTAGCCCAGGCAGCTGTGCCATCAGAGGGACAGATTAATCTCACCTCTTTCCAAATCTCATGTGAGTAAAATCACACAGTAGCAGGTTCTGTTCAGCATGATGCTTTGGGGGTTCATCCATACTGTTCTGTGTATCAGTAGACGGCTCCTTTTTGTTGCTGAGAAGTGCTCCATTGTGTGGATGCACACAATTTATCATTCATCCACTGGAGGCCATCTCTGCTACTTCCAGTTCTTGACAATTATGATCAAAACTTCTGTGAACAGGTATACACACAGAGACAGGTGTTTGTGTGGACCTGTGCTTTCCTTTCTCTTGAGAATCTGCTGTGAGACTGCTGGGGTGTGTGCTGAGGATGTGTCACATGGTGCGGAACTGTCCGCTGTGGTGGTGTGGGGGCCCCAGCTGCCACATCTTCATGCACTCCCGTGGGGATGGGAGGAACTCACTGTAGCTTTAGTCTGTATTTCCCTGGCCACAGATGATGTTGAGCATCTTTGCATGTTTTTATTGGCCATTTTTTACATCTCCTACCCCCTCCCCCCATTTTTATATCTTGTGAACTTTCTCTTCAGATCTTTTGCCCATATTTTTATCGGGTTGTTCATTTTACTATTAAGATAGAATTCTTTACATGTTCTGGATACAGGTCATTTATCAGTTGTATGTTTGAAAATATTTTGCCCAGTGTGTTGCTACCCTATTCATCTTTTAATGGTGTATTTTGAAATTTTTTTATTTTGATAGAGTCCACTTTAGTATGTTCTACCTAAGAAATTCACATCTACTCCAAGGTCATGGGGATTCTCCTGTTTTATAATAGCCAGCTAGACCATATCAGGATGGTTTTGGTAGTTCATGGATCAAATCAAATGGTACTCAGTAAGTGCTCGCAAAACAGAAATCAGTGTAAAAATGGGTCTTTTTTTTCCCCCATCAACCAGAAGTTAAGCAAGTTCATAGGTTTTTTTTCATTTTTTTCATTTCAGATCAACAGGGGGTCCTTCAGGTCGGAGTGGACATCGCATGGTAGCCTGGAAGAGACAGTTAATCCTTTTTGGTGGCTTCCATGAGAGTAAAAGGTTGGTACTAATAGCAGAAAAATCTTTCCTGAAGCATTAAGGAGTGGACTTTTTATGGGAAGACCATTCTGAATATGTGTGGAAAATGCTGCCTGTCCTCTCAAGTCAGGGCCAGGTTTCTGGGCACGAGGCTCGGGCGGCCACACAGGAGGCCCTACGCTTGGTTTAGTGCCGTGCTGCCGCCAACTTGAAAGTCTCAATCATTGTTGAGCAAGGGGCACCATGTCCTACCTGCCCTGCAAATGATGTGGCGGGTCCTGTCTAATGTAGGATTCTCAAACTGTACCCTGCTTGACAGTACTCCAGTGGGCTTCTTAAAACTGACTGCCCAGCTCTGACTTAGTAGGCGTGGAGCAGGCCCAAGAGCCTGCCTTTCCAACAAGCCCCCGGTGACGCTAACGCTGCAGCCAAGGGACTTGACTTTGAGAGCCACTGGTCTGCCATGATTTAAAAATTCCCCTGCTGGGGACATGATGATGGCCACATTCTGCAGTGATGTGTTTAAGAGGAGGTCTCCAGCTCTCTTTTTATTTCATGTTTACATTTGTGCAGCTGGAGTGGATTCCCAGGGCGAGCTGGCAGTTTCTCTGGTTGTTTTGAGCCTGTCGTCTGTGAAAGTGCCTTTTTACACTTTATTAGTTCAGTCCAGAAAAGCAAGACATCGGTGAACAGGTTATGATGACTGACACCTCATAAAGCAGTAGCATTGTGGGTGAAAGGTCTTGGGCTGTCAGGACCCTGGTGAAGGCCGTCTCTAAAGTGCTTTTCTCTGACCTTGTACGGTGTCAAGGAAGACGGTTCCCCTTCTCTCTGTTGTACCCGGTTCTGTGCTCTCCCTTTGCACTCGTAGTTCTTTTAAAAACAACGTAGTAGTCATTTTATTAACTGTGATAGCACTGCTCACTTTTCTATTGCATTATGAATCCATTTGCACAGATTTTTTTCTGATAATTCTTGGTCCATGAAAATAAATCTTTGCATGTGTGTGTGAAGAAGGCAGCTCTGGGTGAGTTAGCGGGTGAGTGTGGCAATTTCCCCACCCCTGCTCCCCATCAAGGGGCAGGGCGTTGTGGTGCAGATTTGGCTCTGTTAAGGTTTCAGCTTTTCTTCACAAAAATGGAATATTTTCATTAATCGTATTACTTGGGATTAAATGCTTTTCAAGGGGGAAAACTTGAGAATAATTCAAATTAAATAAGGAATGATTTTATATCCTTGAAGGTGTTACTTGGGTGTAACAGTTGCTTTAAGTTGGTGTCTTGTACAATATGCCAAGTGCTTATACACATATTCTCTTAAAGACCAAGCCATTGGTAGGCAGGTGGTCATCTCAAAGAGAGAAAGCTAGGGTAACTAAAATGCAGCAGAACTTGTCCTAGCGAAAGGTGATGGTTGGCCACTTCCCACTCTGCCTGGGTCTGCCCTACATACTTCCATCCTTCCATCACCAGGCGTTTGGTTGCTTGTCTTGTCAGTGTTTGGAGAAGAGAGCCTGGGCCATTTAAACAATTTATACGTGAGAGAGTGTCATCTATATTCATTAAAAAAATTTTTTTTTAAAACAAACAATTGTCAAAATTCAGACTCAGGGACTCATGCATTTGTCAGTGCATTAGTTCAGCACCTACTGTGTGCAGGACAGTGAGATCAGCACAGCATTTTCTCCTTTGAACTTCCTGGTGATAAATTAAATCAAGGGCTGGCTGGATGGATACTCAGTTGGTTAGAGCATGATTCTGATAAATCAAGTTTTAAAGTAGTTTTAACTTGTAACCATTTTAAAATCAGACTTTTTTCAAAGCTATTATCTAATATCTTGCTTAAACTTAGTATTTATGAAGTATTTCAAACATACAGAAAAAATGAAGATACTAGAATAGATAATTTGTGTAGTCACCGTCCATATTAAACAAATGAGTTTGACTTTTGAATACCAACTTTCTAAGTTTTCCTTGAAGCAGTTGGTATTTATCTTACATGCAGAATAGAATTTCTTTATGAAAATCTGCAATGTGAAACCTGAGAAAACAGTGGAAGGTAGCAAATTCTTTTAAAAACGACAAGCTTCCACGTTCCTTGTCTATGTATTAGGAGCTGTTCTCCCGCAAAAAGGTGAGGTCGATTTGAGTGGCAGCGAGTTCAGTTTGTGCCTCAGCTTTGCTCGAGACCAGGCGAGGCAGACAGCACGGGTGGGCACCCGACGCCCCTTCCTGTGCCTGGCACTGTGCTGTGCCTGGTGGTTTAGGGTGGGCATAGCAAGGCCTGCCTTGCGCTAGCTCATGTGTGTGGCGGTGATCAGCAGTGATCATTTTGCACATGGGTTTGGAGCTACAGACATGGATGCAACGTGAATAAGAAAAATGGTCACTGCAAACTTGGAGTAGAGTTTCTCACTTTTTCCATGTGTTCTTTAAAAAATCAGTTTTAGCTCTCCTTTCTGAGTAGCTGGAGAGCAAGCTCGTATTCTGTAACAATTATCCCAGAAAACTCCCACATCGGGATGCAGCATTCTTAGTGCACCTCTGATGCGCCCTGTGACTCCAGCAAAGTTGTCCCGCCATCCCCCGCCACGGTGTTCATTCTCTTTTCAAGTCCCTGTCTGTGTTTGGAGTCTTTCGACACAGAATGCCAGGGCACGGGGCAGGGCAGGCCACAGGGCCTCTTTTGCCATGGTTCTTGCCAAGCTGTGACTGTTTCCATTCAGATGATTCAGATGGATCTATGTTGCGTTGTTGGTCTTAAAATTACACACATAGTAACCTAATGTAATTACTTGCAAGATTGCGATTTTGTCAATTGTGTAAGGAAAGACAGTATAATTTTCATATTAAATTACTGTGCTTCTGTGGGCTGGGGTTATTTCTAGTTTTCAAGTGCAAACTCACGTATGCCTGTTGTCCATTCATATGAATTTAAACTTTAATTAAACAGATAACTTAGTAAAAATGGTAGGAAATTTACCTTTAATTTAAATCAGGTTCACTTTTTATTTTTACTGCCTTTTTCAGATGTTATTGACAATGGTGGTTTGTGTTACTTTATCCCAACCAGGGATTACATCTATTACAATGATGTGTATGTCTTTAACCTGGACACATTGACATGGAGCAAGCTGTCCCCGTCAGGGACTGGGCCCACACCCAGGTCGGGCTGCCAAATGTCCGTCACTCTACAGGGCAGCATCGTCATCTATGGGGGCTACTCGAAACAGGTAAGCCTGGGTGTGTAGGGAAAAAGAGCAACTTCTGTCTGTTGTCTTTCTGATTTATCAGTACTGGAAACTTCCAAATAAGATTGCGCATTAGTTTAATGTAAACAGCTCTTTTTATTGAATTAGAATGGATAGAGATAGTGTTAATATTCTCCTCTGTGAACATATTAAGATTTTTAAAGACCATATTACATTGTAGTCCATATTCCTTCAAAATGATGCAGTAGGAATAATTCTGTATTTTGGGGGGGTCTTTATTCTTAAGCCATAGAAACTAACTACTACTGTATAGCATTCCATTGTAGAATATACCACAACTTAGTTCTCCTTTCTACTGTTCACAGGCGTTTTTCTTTTTGATCTGCAAACGGTGCAGAGTCTCCCTCACTGGCCTGCCCTGTGCATAGCACACACACAGCACATGCACAGCACGTGTCCGTGAAGCCCCACAGTTACTGAGATGGAGCACTTTACCAGTTTCATGTTTTTGTGAATCTGAGAGGTGTGGAATGGTGTCTCATTGTAGGGGTTTTTAAAACCCTTTTTACCTTGAAATTTTCAAACATTCTCGTGTAGGAACTAGGAAGAATCTTACAGTGGATGCTCACGTGCTGTCTGCATGGTCCTGTCACACATCTGGCCATGCATCTGCACCTCATCTGTCAGTCATCTTTTTTGATGTATTACAAAGAAAAACTGCAGATGTCTTCCCCTAAGTCCTTGATCGAGGGTACCATCACATGGAGGTCGGGGTTAATTGTTATGTAAACTCTGCCTCAGTGAAGTGATTGCTCATGTTTCTCGTGCATAGCGCTGGCTGTGCCGGTGCATGTGCCATGTGGCCCTCACCCTGCAGTGCTGTTGCCACCAGGGACAGACACTGTGCTGGCTTTCCTCACCGTGTGAAATGTGCTGTCCAGGCTCCTAGTAGCTGCAGCCACACCATGTGTGCTCAAGCTGTCCTTCACCCAGCATGTGCTCAAGCTTTCTCCATAAGGCATGTTTCAGTTTGTTGCTTCATGATGCTGAATAGACTTCTAGTATGTGACCATACCGGTTTGTGTTTCCATGTTTTGTTTGTGGACACCAGGGTTGCCGGGAATACAGCTGCTGTGAGCATTTGTGTACAAGTCTTCGCAAGGCTACCTATCTTGATTTCTCTTGAGTAAAAACCTAGAAGTGGAGCCACTGGGTCCCAGGGTGGGCTTAGGCATCATTTAGTAGGTGGCTGGACCTCTTCCCAAAGCAGTTGCACTGAAGGTGGCCACACTGCATTAGAAGCATCTGAGAGTTCTGTCACTCCACATTCATACTGACGTTTGGTGGCTTCAGCCTTTTCATTAAAAATGAAAAGCCATTCTGGTGGATGCGTGGTATCATTATGGTTTAAGTCACATTTCCCTGGTGACTGCTGCTGCTGGGCACTTTTCATGAGCTTACTGGTCATTCGTATGTCTTCCCTAAAGTATGTTCATCATGCCTTTTGCTATTTTTATGAGCTGCATTTTTATTATTGAGTTGTGGGGGTCTTTATGTCCTGGTACTGTCCTTTTCAGGCACGTGTGTCACAGACACCTTCTCGCAGCTGGTGGCTTGCCTGTCCACTCTCTTGAGTGCTTGTTGGAGAGTAGAAGCTTTAAGTTTTGACGAGGTCTTATTTATTATGTTTTTCTTTTATGATTATTGCAATCTGGGACCTAAGGAGACCTTGGTTACTACCTTCACTAACGAAGATTTTCTCTATTTTTCTCTAAAAGTGATATTGTTTTAGCTTTTACATTTAATTCTACAGTCTACCTTGAACTAATTTTCATGTGTAGCGTGAGGTGGGTATTGAGGCTGTTGTATGTTTTTCCATGTAGATATTTGTTTATTATAGCACCATTTGTTGAAAAGACTTTTCTTTTCCCACTGGATGCCTTAGGACCTTTGTCGAAAATCAGATGACTCTGGAACTCTAGGTCTGTTTCTGGACTCTCCTTTCTCTTCTGTTGATATATTTGCCAGTCTCATGCCAGTGTCGCACTGTCTTCATTATGCTCCTTTGTAGTGAATCTTGAAGTCAGGCAGCATAAGTCCTCCAACTTTGTTCCTGTTATTCACAGTTGTTTTGGCTATTCTAGGTTCTTAGCATTTCCATATAAATTTTAGCATCAGCTTGTCCATTTCTATCATTTAAAAAAAAAAGGCAAAAAACTCTCCCAAAAGACCGCTGGGAATTGTGATTAGGGTTGCTTTAAATCTGTAGATGAATTTGATATTTTTGAGTCTTCCAATCCTTGAACATGGATTATCTCTCCATTTACTTTGGTTTTCTTTAAATTTTTTTAGCAATGTTTTGTAGTTTTCACTGTAAAGTTCTTACACATCTTATGTTAAATTTATCTTATGTTTAATTTATCTTATGTTTATTGATGCTGTTGTGAGTGGAATTTCTTGAAATTACACTTTCCAGTTGTTTGCTGCTGGTGTATACAAACGTTTTATTTTCTATATATTCACCTTGTATTTTGTGATCTTGTACAATTCACTTATTTCCAGTAGTTTCAGATTGATTAAGGTTATGTAACCAGTCATGTAATATGCATATTGAGAGGACTTCAGTGCAGGGCTGGAGAGGAGCGTGCAGAGTGGGTTTCCCAGTGTGGTCTTCTGTCTCAGGAGGAAAGCCATCAGTGACATCCACTATTCAGTATGGTGTTAGCTGTAGCGTTTTCATAGACCCCCTTTAAGTTCTGATTCTAATTCTTATCTGCTGAGAGTTTTTATCGTGAATGGGAGCAAACTTTTGTTAAATCCATTTTCTGCACTTATTGAAATGATCATTCAGTTTTTCTCCTTTATTTAGTTTACATTGTGAATTAGCTTGGTTAATTTTCTGGTGTTACTAATGTTCTATTTATAAGATAAACCCTACTTGGTCGTAATGTATTATCCTTCCTGTGTCCTGCTGGATCTGATCTTCTCATGTTCTATTAAGGATTCTATGTTTGTGTTCATGAGGGAAATTACTCTGTAGTTTTCTTTTTGAATATTTTTGATAGGTTTTGGAATTAGGTTCCTCTTGCCTCATTATATGAGTTGAGACGCTTTCTCTCTTCTGTTGTATGTAACATTTTGTGTTGGATGGAATTTACCAGTGAAACCATCTGGGCCTAGGTATTCTCAATAGGAAGGTTTTTGATAATGAATTCAATTTCTTTGATAGATATAGGGCTAATCAGATTTTGGTTCATCTTGTGTCAGTTTTGATAAGTTGTATTTCTCAAGGAGTTCGTTCATTTCATTTTTATTGTCAAATCTGTTGTCATAAAGTTGTTTGTAAGATCTCTTATTATCATTTTGATGTGTGTAGGACCTGCTCTGACATTCCTTGTCCTGATATTAGTCATTGTTGTTGTTGTTTCCCTCTCTCTCTTTTTTTTTTTTTTTTTGATTAATCTATGTCTTAGTCCATTTTGTACCGTGATAACAGACTACTACAGCACAGACTGGGTGATTTATAAAGAAAAGTTTATTTCTTATAGTTCTGGAGGCTGGGAAGTCCAATATAAAGGTGCTGGTGCCTGGTGAGGGCCTTTGTGCTGTGTCATCAAATGGCAGGAGGTGACAGAGAGAGAGAGAGCGCACGCGAGTGAGCACACAGCAGAGCCCTCATGATCCAACACCTCCTGCCAGCCCCGCCTCCCAACACTGCCACCTTGGGGATTAGGCTTCTAGCACATGGACTCTGGGGGACACATCCAGATCATAGCAGGCCGTGTTAGGGATTTGTCAGTCTCACTTAGCTTTCAGCCAAGCTCAGTTTCCTGCTGTTTCTCTGGTGTGAACATGTGGGTGGATGCTCTTGTCTCCATCACCTCATCCTTCGTAGCCTTCCTGTGTACTGCTGGATCTGATTTGCTCAAGGTTTACTTTGCTCTCCTTCTAGCTCCTTAGAGTTGAACAGATTTTAAATCTTTTTTGAATATAGGTATTTAAAGTTATAAATTTCCCTCTAAAAACTGTTTTGACTGCATTTTACAGATTTTATCAGTGAATTTGACGTATTTCCTAATTTCTCTTGTGGTTTCTTCTTTGAACTATAAATTGCTTCAGTGTGTGTTGTGTAATGTCCTACGTATCTTATTGCTAGTAGTTTCTAATGCAGTTCCATTGTGGCTAGAGAATATACTTTTTGTGAATTCAGAATTATATTTCTAGCTATTGTAAGTATGTTGAAATTCAGCAGCTTCTGATGTGTTGATTTTTGCATCTGCAGCCGTACTGATGGTGAGTTATTCTGGTGACTTACCTGCCAGATGCTTTTTGGTTTCTTGTGCAGATAATCATGTCATGCACAGACATTGGTGTGTCTTCCTTCCAGTCGTTATACTACTTGGCACTTCTTTCTTGCCTTGCTGTGTTCACAGGAAACAGAGTTCCCTTCTTTCCCATTGTCTTAAGACAATAAGTCTTCCCTGGACACTATGAACACAGGATGGCCTTGTATTTCTGGGCTGGTTTGTGAGCAGAGCTCCCTAGAGGAAGACAGATGGACTCCCCACCCCACCCCACCCCCTGTTGTCCTAGGCCTGCAATTATGAGGTCTTTCAGCCTGTGACTCCCAGCTCATGGCAGCGTCCGTGCTCAGGCCTCCTTCCTGGAGCTGCTGTGTGTGTGTGCTGCCAGACAGTGTGTGCTGCCTGTCGGTGTGTGCTGCCCGTTGGTGTGTGCTGCTTGAGCCTTCTCTCTGCAGTCCTTTCTACCCAGGGGTTAGCTTTCTCACAGCTGTAGGAAAGAGATCTTTACTTTTGTTTTCTGGTTTCTTCTGGAAAAAAAAAACACAAAAAAGCTGTGAATGCTTATATGGTGCACATCAAATCTCATTCTAGATGGTCAGGTGCAGGCAGTGCCTCAGTGATGTGGTGCTGAGTGTTGCTGTGTGAAGTGTGGGACGGGCTTCTGCGAAGCTTTAAGTCACTTTTTCCCCAGCCAGGAGTGCCGTGAAGGGACTGGCA